CATTTCTAGACCAATATGGCTGTCCATTTCTGTACAATGCCAACTCAACACAGTAAATTGGTATAACTTTTTCCAAAGTTGACAGCACCGTTAAAGTTTCCCCAAATTCAATTTATATATATATGTATATATATATTTATATAAAAATACTAATAGTATATTATGCATCAATAGCAGCAACAGCTTTTCCAGGTTCTGCAGTCATCTGAACAAAATTATAGACATTCAGCACATTCCATTAAAAAAAAAAAAACCCAAACAAAGAAAAGAATAATATCCAGAAAACAGCAAAGTTCTGTTGCTGGTGTGGTACCTGGCACCATTTTTTTTTTATTAGTATCTTCTTAGTCATCATCTGGAAAGAGAATTTTTTTTTTTTTTGAGGCAGGGTCTCACTGCATAGTTGAGACTGATCTGGAATTCACTATGTAGCCCAGGCTGGTCTTGAACTCACAACGATCCTCCTGCCTCAGCCTCCCAAGTGCTGGGAATACAGGCGTGCGCCACCACGCCTGGCTAGGATTAATAGTTTAATGAGGAAAAAAAGTAAAAAAGGGAACTGAGTTAGCGCTTATAGAGGGTTTGGGCTCTGATATTTTAAATTCCCTGTAAAAGCTCTTACTATTTAAAAAAATTACTTTGCTTCTTGTATACCAGCTGCTTCCCAGCTTAGCATAGAACTGGGCAAACTCCTAGGTTAGCTGAGGGCCTGCTGGGTCTGCTGTGTAAACTTGGTTATATGCTGTGCAGTGCTGATCCAGGCACAGTGTGCTTTTGGCAGTGGCCCATTGTTCATTTATTTATTTTTTTCCATTGCTCTTTTAGATGTGGCCTCCCAAGAATCTAGTTTATGGTAGGCATTAAAAAAGCTTAGCTTTGCCAGCCCTGTCCTTTTGGGGCCATTCCTTTGGTTTTGACAACTACAAACCATGGTGCCATTTTGTGCCAGGCATGAGCAGCCCCTTAACATAGTAATTTTCATCACCACCCAGGGAGCCAGGTACTAGTTTGCTCATTGGATAGATGGGTCAAGTGGAGTGTGTGAGGGTGGCCCGCTGGATGGCAGTGTCGTAAGCTTTCTGTGCCTGAGGAAGGATTTCTGACCAGTCTTTTCTAGCCATGTAAGTGGTCAATTCACCAGTGGCCTCTTGAACCTGAAGTTGACTCTGAAAGGAAGGTACTCTAAAGTGTGGGGTAGCCACACTGGCTTCTCATGGACTTACTTAACAGAATTTTAACATCTGTCTTGTGATAAATGTATTATTTCAAACCCTGTATTTGTCAAAGGGACATATTAGAAAATAGGATAAATGTGAATTAGTAATAGCTAATTAGTAATGTTTTATAAAAAGTAAAGGTCTAAAAAGGATTCAAGAAGACAAAGTTAAAAGAAGACAAATAAATAAATAAAGAAAGAATAAAAAAGACAGCTGGGGAGTTAGCTCAGTGGTGCCTCTGCTTGCTGTGCAAACCCAAGGTCCTGAGTTTGATCCCTGGTACCAAAAAAGAAGAAAGACAAAGTTTGAATGAATGTATGTTTTAAATGCATGCATTATAGTGACACTTTTACTCAGCTCCTTGTATTTACAGGAGTGACTCTTATGACAAAAAATTTTAGTGTATTTTGGTCCTTGTGCTTGCTGAGCTAAGTCTCTGGCCCTGTGCCGTAAATTGAGATTAAGCATTTTATTTTCTTTGAAACAAAACATTTATTGATACATTTTAGATATACATAATGATCACATTCATCATAGGGAATTTGTATCTACATGATATATCTTGCTTCTTTTTTTCTATTCCCTTCAGCATATACATTTTTCTTATTCTCCCTTGGCATATACATTTAATAAATATGAATGGCTATATGTCTGTCTGCATGATCACTACTTTCTACTCAGTATTTATTTACTTATTTATTTCAGTACTGAGGATTGAACTTAGGACCTTGTGCTTGCGAGACAGGCAGTGGAACCACTGAGCCAAATCCCTGGCTCACCTTTTTTTTTGATATAGGGTCTCACTGTATAGTTCAGGCTGGCCTTGAACTCACTGTGTAGCCTAGGCTGGATTTGAACTCATGGCAATCTTCCTGCCTTAGCCTCCCAAGTGCTGGGATTACAGGCATGTGCCACCACACCCGGCCTAGCATTTAATGTTTTCAAAGAAAAGAACTGTTTTTTTTCTCTTGGAAACACATTTACAGAGGGGATGTGAATTATTCCTGCTTTCTCGTGCATCCTTCCTGGCCTCATGGAGTTTCAACCCATGTAAAAGAATTAGTACTTGTCAGAAGATGTAGGAGTTCCCCTCTGCAGTTCTCAGGAGCTCTTTCTCTGGACAGCTACCTGTTCTGTGATCCTCTGCTTCCCCCACCACCCCAGATCCTGCTGGTGGGTACTTGGCCCTTCCCAAATATGGTTTCCGTCTTCTCATCTCGGGGAGACTGCCAGGCTGCTGGTGTCCCTGGTCCCCGCAGTATCCTGGCATGGACCTGCATTCCCTTCACTAATCTTTGCTCCTGTGCTCAGTGGCTGGAAACAGTTGCTTTTATTTCATCCAGTTTTCTATTACCTTATTGTAACATTTCCTGTAATAGTTCTTTGACAGGCAGAAGCAGAAATCTGTACAAACTTTATTATTATTATTATTTTTGGTGGCGCTAGTGATTGAACCCAGGGCCCTGCACATGCTAGGTGATCACTCTACCACTGAGCTACATCCTTGGTCCCAAAGGACTTTAATCTGGAAAATGCAAGTAATGGACAAAAGAGACATTTTAGTGTAACAGTCTCCCAACACTAGCTGGAAGCTCTGGGCCAGCTGAGTTTTTGTACCCCGTCTACTTTGTTCCTCCTACAAACTTGGAAGTGTATCTGAGATAGTATGAACTTCTGACTCTGTAAATATTTTATTATGTATCTTTAAAATATAAAAGTACATTTTGTACAGATTTTATTTTTGGTACCAGAGATTGAACTCAGGACCTTGTGCTTGCAAGGCAGGCGTGGTGCCACTGAGCTAAATCCCCAGCCCTTAAAAGTACCTTTTTAAAAAATAAGCCGGGGGCTGGGGATTTAGCTCAGTGGTTCTGCCACCTGTCTTGCAAGCAAAAGGTCCTGAGTTTGATACTCGGTAACAAAAAAAAAAAAAGTTTCTAAAATATAAGCTGCAATGCCACTGCTACATCTAGAAAAATGAGCAGTAATTCTTCAAAATCATTATGTCTATGTAGTCAGTGTTCATATTTACACATTTATAGTTATAAAGCCATCATCTTTTTCATCCATTTTGTTTGAATGAAGATCCAAGTAAAGTCTCTACTGTTTGCCCAAAATGTCTTTTTTAATTTTAAGAGTCTTTTTTAATGTACTGATTCTTTATCCAGTTCTTTCTTTGTAATTTTATTTGTTGGTCAGACTGGGTCTTGGGGTAACAGATGGGATTTTGCTGATTTTATTTCTTCTGTATCCTATGAATTTTCTGCAATTTGGATAGTGAAGCCAGAAATTGACAATTTGGTTATTCATGCATATTTCCAGCTTTTTAGTTCGAAAATTTTAGATTTCTGGAAAATCTGCTAAACCAGGACAGAGTTTCTGTTTATTCTTCCCTCAGATTGCGTTACTGTTACATCTTATATAACTGCAGCATAATTAGCAAAACCAGGAAGATGATACAATGACACTAAAATGTTGATATAATATGATATGAAACTAGTAACTTACAGATGTCTTTAAATTTTGCAAGTTTCATCACTAATTTCTCTTTTCTAACCAAGTGATATAACATAGTTGGTCATGTCTCTTCCAACTAGAGATAATTCCTTTTTGTTTTGTTCTGTTTTGCTTTCCTTTACAACCTTTGTACTTGTGAAAAGCACTAGTCAGTTATTTTTAGAATATCCCTCAGTTTAGGTTTGTGTGATGTGTTTGCTATGATTAGATGGATGTGCATTTGAGGAAAGAATACCATAGTGATCTTGAAGTGTTACTGTTTGAATAATTTCCTTTGCTTTTAGCTTTCTGTGTTGCTTCATTGCTGCTAAACCAAAGTTGCATTTTCAGCAGACATTTCTTTCATATATTCTTTTAGACTGCAAAATGAACCTGAATGATTTCATCAGTATGGATCCTGGAGTCGGATGGGGAGCTGTCTACACACTACCTGAATTCGCACATCGGTTTAGCAGTAAAAGCTGCTGAACTGGACATCAGGGTGTAGAATTGTGGAGAACTTGGGCACACGAAAAGGCCACCCTGTCATGTAGTACAACAAATGTGGTACCATTGGCTTGGAGTTATGTTTTTCTCTTTTAATTCAGTGGAATGGAAACATGGATGAACACAGTACAAATGAACTAAATAAAACCTTTATGGGCTGAGGTAGAATGCATGTTTAGCGTGTGTGAGACCCTGGGTTCCATCCCAGCACCACAAATAAAAGAAGACCTTCCCTCGGTGTGTCAGGTGGACATGTGCCCTGGTGTCTTATGGCTGCCCTAGGGCTCCTGTGTTAAAGTGTGTGGCGGCTGAGGCCAGGCCTTGCTGTGTGCAGATGAGTTGACTCTCCTGCATGTTTCTGTCTCTAGCCATACTGTAAGCCCCCTGTATTTCACGGATATGTGGATGTTTGGTGCACCCGTAAAAGATACTCATAAGATATTCCTGGAGACAGCACTGCTGCTTGGAAAGGAATTATATCGTGAGCTGAGTCAGCAATAAGAATTAGTCTTTTTGGACTACAATGTTGTTAACGATTTCCTTTAGGCGGAGTGATATTTGGTCTATTTATAAGTGATTTTTTAAAAATAGAATTTAAAATTTGTGTTGAAGGTTTTGTCTTTTCTTTTTTGTACAGGGGATCGAGCTTAGGACCTTGTACTTGCAAAGCAGGTGTGCATTGAGCTAAATCCTCAGCCCTGTGTCATTCTTCGTGATCCAAAATACCTAAGAATTTCTCAGTCATATATGAGAACCATCTATGTGCTTTTAAAAAATGTGTTTTAAAACACATTTGTCATGTCTGCCTTCTTGGAAAATTGGCTTTAATCATACAATTCCAAATAAAATATATTTGGCATTAAACTGGGATATAGTATTGGCTCTCATTTATGTTTTCATGGGTTTTTTTTGGTACTGGGGATCAAACTTGGATCCTTGAGGTTGCAAGACAGGCAGTGGAACCACTGAGCTAAATCCCCAGTTTCATGGTTTTACTGTATGTCTTAGTTACTTTCTCATCACTGAGACACAGTACGTGACACTCACAACTCTGAGGAGAGGGTTATTTGGCTCATGTGGGTAGAGTTTTCCATCCATGGTTGGCTGGCTCCAAGGCAGGTGTGGCAGAGGAGAAAGCGCTCACAGCAGGGCAGGCTGGAGGCAGAGAGGGATCAAGGAAGGAGGAAGGATACATATATATCTGCTTCCAGGCCACACTCACATTGGTCACCTCATCCCACCAGGCTTCATTTCCCAACATTCCACTGAGCTGTAGGCTAATCTGGTGTTGACTTTCATACCCCCATGAGCCAGTCACTTCCCAAAAGCCCCACCTATGAGTGCATGTTGCTTTCTGGGGCCATCTAGATAGAAAGCAGAACACTAAAAACAAGTAACTTCTTCCAGCAAGGATATGCTGTACAGGGGATTAAATTTGGCTTCCTGTGTGCTGGGCAAGCCCTCTACCATGGAGACACATCCTCAGCCCATTTTCTGCCTATTAAGTAGCTTTCTTTTGTTTTTGTTTGTTTTTGTTGTTGTTGTTGTTGTTGTTGTTGTTTTTTGAGACAGGGTCTCACTATGTAGTTGAGACTGACCTGGAACTCACTATGTAGCCCAGGCTGGTCCTGAACTCCAGCAATCCTCCTGCCTCAGCCTCCCAAGTGCTGGGATTACAGGTGTGCGCCACCGCGCCCAGTAGCTTTCTTTTAGCATGCATCCTCTGCCCTCTAATTTAAAGGATATACTCTACTTGAGCAGCTTGCTCAGTTCACCAGGATGAATCTGGGAGAACACACTTGTGTAGGCAGAGTACAGGTACAACCTCTTAAGTTACTTGATCACTAAAGCTAAATATGGACCTCACACTTAGATATCTTCATTGGGTTTCAGATGGTCATTTAACAAGTTCATGGCTTAAAATGAAGAGGATGGAATTTGGCAGGCTGCACCATGGAAATACTTCTTTTCCTTGAGCAGAAACTGTCAGAGGGACCAAAGGATTTTGTAGTCTGATTTACAGATTGCATTTTTGGACTTTTTTCTTGGCCTGTTTTATAAGTATGTCTCTGATCTGATATTGAGTACATCTAGTACAGAGGACCAGATAATGTCTTTGAAAGTAGACTTCCTAAACAGATGTCTCTGTAATTTCCAGCCATCTTGTCTTAAAATTGAAAACCTATTACTGCTCACCAATGTAAGGAGCAAGGTTTTATAGTTTAAAGCCAGTTAAAATATCCCAAGGAACTGGGCATGGTGAACTGGGAGTCTAAGGTAGAAAGAGGTAGCCTGGGCATCTTAGTGATTTGGTGAGACCCTGTCTCAAAAAGTTAAAAAAAAAAAAAAGTCTGTGGATGTAACCTAGTGTAAAAGCCCTGGGTTTAATCCCCAGTGCTGGAAGGAAGAAGGTCCAATAGCCATAATCATGACTTGGAGGAACAGACCTTACTGGCCTTTGACCCAAGTGTACTCTATCACTGAGCTACATCCTCGGCTGCGCCCCTACCCCCCCCACCCCCAGTGCCTTGCTAATTGCCCAGGCAGGACTTGAACTTCCAATCCTCCTGTCTCAGCCTCCCTCAGTGCTGGGATTACAGGCAGGTGCCAGGACACCTGGTTTGTTCTAGTAGCACTCATTCAGTGCCCTTGGGGAACTCCACCTTGCACATTTTCATGTAGTCTTTTTAGCCCTTGTGTATGAGCAAATTGCCTAAACTAGGCCAGGCTGGTCTTGCTGGGACAGGTCTAGAGTGACTAGTAGCACGTTCCCTGGATTTGTGTGTTGCTGTTCAGAGATGGCCAGTCTCCCTCCATTGGTGTGCTAAGCTGGAGTCCCAGAGCTTTGAGGGGCTGTGGTGGGTATCCTGACTACCACAGGAAGAGGGCTGACCATTGCCTACAGCCAGAATGGAAAGTGGTGCAAGAGCCTCAGGGACAGCCTTTCCTTTGCCCCTGGATCAACCTGTGTCTGAAGCCAGCACCAAGTTCTGAATTTGCCAGGACTAGTGGATTTCTCTTCCCCTTCAGCATGTGTGACTTGGATGTCTTTCGGTTTGAACTGAAAGGTTCCTTTATACTTTTTTTTTTCCTTCAAAATTCCTGACAAATCAAGAGAAGTAAGGTATCTGAGACTCACCAGTAGGGGAGCAAATGGAAGGTTACAGAGGCTCTCAGGTCAGTAGAACTGACTGTTCCTTATAAGCTTGAAAGCTTAAGTTATGGCTTGTATGTAGACGTTCCCCCAAGGCCTCATGGAGCTTCTCAGAACTGGCTGCATCATGGATGTGTGGTGCTAAATTAGTCTACCAACTGGTTTAGCATAGCTCTGGATGTGGTTGAATGGATTTACTGAAGCCCCACTCTGGGTGTGTGTGCTACCAACCAATACCTAGATAGAATGAAAAGGCAAAGGGAGGCTGGCTGCTTCCCGCCTATCCTGCCATGGACTATTTCTCCTCTGTGATGCTCCTCTGCCTCCCTCCCTCAGAGCCAGCCCACTATGAACTGAAACCTCCATAAATTATGAGCTGAAATAAACTTTTCCTCCTTTAACTTGTAGGTGTCAGAAATTTTGTCCCAGCAATGAGAAAGTAACTAAGACAATAGCTTTTAAGAAAATTGGTTTTTTTGGAAGAGAGGTTGGTTGGCAACAGTAACAATGACAACTTTTTTCTTCTTCTTAGGCAGCCTTTTTTGTGTATATGGTTTTGCTCAATGGATCAAACTTGGGACCCTGTGTTAGCGAGGCAGGAAGCAGCACCACTGAGCTAAATCTACAGCCCAATTTTTACTTAATTCTTTAAAACTTTATATATATATATATATATACATATATATATATACACACACAATGTACAATTTCAAAATATATAAAAGAATGAAGAATAAACTCCCTTTCCTTTTTGTTGTCCAGTTTTCTGATGTCCCTAGCCAGACAGAACCTCTTTTTCAGTTAATTTCATATCCTCCCAGGGATTTTCTGTGCCCACAGAAGTTCATAAATACACATAGTAAATACTAAATTTTGTTTTTCCCTCCAGTGGTAGCATGGTCTCTAGGTCTCATCCAGAGTGGTCCTCTCCAATGTCGCCTTCACTCATAGTGACATTCACTTGAGGACTTTTATGCTTCCTGTTCTTTCAGAGTTGGTAAAGGGGCATGCCCCTCAGCTCTCTGCCTTGTTATGCCAGTTGAGGACCGTCACATAGGGGGTGTGTCTGAGCCTCTGTGCCTTCTATTTTAGTAATCTTTTTTGGTACCAGAGTTCGAACTCAGGACCTTGTCATTACAAGGCACGCAACAGAACCACTGAGCTAAATCCCTGGCCTCTCTGTGCCTTCTCACTGTCAATCTTGTTATACCCTGTCTGAGCAGACTCTGAGTGTAGGGAATTAGAACACACAGGCGGGACACCACTTCTGATGATGTCTGAACTACCCTGAGAAAAGGTGTGACACTCCTGTGTTCCACATCCGGTTGGATGGAACCAAACATAAGTTTGGCCTGCTGGGACACAGCATAGGCTCCTGATTGGGGTCTTACAACATGGCCATTTGAAATAAATTTTGCTGCAGAAAGGATCCAGTTTTTGCTATTTCTCAAATAATTTAAAACATTTATGTGTCTTATTGAGGGCATGTTAGATGTGGGTAGTCAAAGCTGACCAAGCACCTGCCCTCATGTAGTGTGGGGGCTCAGTCATGGCACACTGGAGTTTGACATTTGGAAAATAACTTCTTCCTGTACAGTTAAGGCATCGACACAATCTATGCAACATTTGTTACTTTTCAAGGACACTGTTTATTAAGCTTGTTTTGTTCTTTGACCCTGCCATAACAGGAGCTCCTTAGCCAAAGATCTGATGTTATCTGTAAGAGTCAGGAAATCCAGTCTTTGCCTAAAGATAAAAACAATTGCTTGGTGTTTTCTGTTGTTGTGTGCCCTTAAAAGCTTCTTGTTGATGCGAGCCTTTAAAAGGAGCTGTTTCTGTGAAATAAATCAGACTTCTCTTGGTCTCCACACGTGTTTGAGTGTTCTTTCCTTTCTCAATCCTCACTCCCCAACTCAGGCATGTTAGTGTTGTGACAGCTGGACCGCCACAACATAGCTTCTATACAAAGGGAGGAGAATTAAATCAACCCACCTTGCAATGTTCTCTCCACAAAGCTTCTAGAATGCTCTTTTAAAAAATTACAAATCAGATTATCTTCTCCCTTCTCCCCCTTGTTTACCAGAATCTCCTTTCTCAATCCTCACTCCCCAACTCAGGCATGTTAGTGTTGTGACAGCTGGACCGCCACAACATAGCTTCTATACAAAGGGAGGAGAATTAAATCAACCCACCTTGCAATGTTCTCTCCACAAAGCTTCTAGAATGCTCTTTTAAAAAATTACAAATCAGATTATCTTCTCCCTTCTCCCCCTTGTTTACCAGAATCAGGGATCAAACTCAGGACCTTGCGCTTGCCAGGCAGGGCATCATTGAGCTACAACTTCAGTCCTCCTTACCCCTTTAGAAATGAACAGGAACAGGCCAGGGATTTAGCTCAGCGGTGCCACCGCCCGCCTTGCAAGTGCAAGGACCCAAGTTTGATCCCCGGTACAAAAAAACCAAAAAAACCCAAAAAAA